ATTTTATTAGAAAATTCGCCTCATTCATTGTTTTGCAGGGAATTTTAGAAAACCATTTTCAGCTTCGAGTTTGGCAGGAAAACCAGATAATGTTGTTTAATTTTTCTCCAAAAGTGAATAAGATTATCTTGGAAAAACGACCTGAGAGCAAACGTTTTCAAAAAAGTTCTTGGAAAATTCGCTATCCTCATCGCTCTGAAGATTTTGAAAGTTTTCTTTAAATTTCCGGCCTTTCCAGTTTTAGCAAAGTATTTATTTAACAATTCTTTCTGCGCAAAAAATGCATTATTTTTTAGTTTTACTTCAAAATACTGAAAATCTTCATGCATTTTCTGTTAAAAATTATAACATAATTTTTATGAACTCGCCTCCTTAACAGCTGTGTATTCTTCGTTTTTTAATGAAAGGAAATGGATCAAAGTAATGAAGGATAGAAATTTTCGAACCTGCCAATGTTGATTCTAAAGTGTTTAACGCGACTAAATAAGATTTTCAGGCAAAATATCCTTCCGGCAGATTTATTTTCAGCATTTTTGAAACAAGTTTTAATAACATCAAATTTATCAGACTGTTGAAGGATAAGAGTTTGGAACTTTCAGTCCATGACCTAATATTTAGCTTCTATCGTTGATGAAGTTTGGATTTCGGGTAAAACTTTTAGAGGAAAGTTGGGCTGAGAACCACTCTATCAAGAAGGCCCTAAGCAATAGTCAGAAAATTCCATCTATTTTCGAGATATGATTTTTTAATAAATCGCAACCCTCGTCGATCTGAATGTTTTCAAAATTTCAGGTCTCTCCAGTGTTAGCAAAGTTTTTATTAAGCAATTATTTCTGCGCAAAAACGCATTAGTATTAAAATTTACTTCAAAAATCTGCAAGTGGTTTACGTGAAAAACTATAAAATAAATTTTATAAACTCGCCTCCTTAACAGATTTGTAAAAATGTTTCTAGAACCTTTTGCAGCTTCGAGTTTCCGACAAAACCTTAATAATTTTGTCCCAAAAATATTTCCCCGAGCAGAACAATCAAAAGTTTATAATCGATTATTTATTTTTTCTTAACTTCCGGTTTCTTCACTTTTGGGTCAATATTTCTAAGGAAACTCTCTGTCTAAACAGAAAACGCGGGTTTTTCTA